GTTTAATTGTAACATAGAGTCGACACCAGTATGTTTAATGCGGAAGGAAACTTTTTGTTCTTCCGTTAAAGAGTTGAAATATATTCGGAGTTTTTCATTGTTTTTGAAATCAGTCCGATTGTTGCATCGTTTGGCCATGTGCCCACTTAAACTACAAATTCTGCATATTTTTTGTTTTTCAAGAGAAAATGACATCTTTGATGGAGCGTGCTTCTTGTAAACTCTTTGAGTTTTTTCTAGGTTTTCGACAAGAAAAACTTTTTTACTTGGTCTCATTTGTAAATTTTTAAGAGTTGGTGGATCGAGTAAAAATGGGCTTCCTTCAATCTGTTTGATCTTTTCTTTTTCCGAATTTTCTTACAATTTGAACTGTTTAATTTATAAACAGTTGAAATAATGTTTAACCATTGTGCTTTAAGTGAGGGGGTGTAGAGTATGGTATCAACAATTTCATCAAAAGCAACGACATGGTCTTTGCGTGTCCATAGATTTAATTTCTCAGTTACAGTTCGTTTCACAAAGGAGTGTTCGGCAATCTACACTTGCTCCACAAAAGCACCAACACCAAAGTCTGACAGTTCAAAGAGTGGTTCTCGAAGTCCAAGTACTTTGTCATACAAGCGTCTATAAAGCTGATGAACACAAGGACAAACGTGTTTGAGTTTTAAATAAGCATCACATGGACAATAGTATGTGATGGAACCTTCAAGCGGCGCGAGCATTGGGACCATTGAATAATTATTAAGAATAAAGACTATCCACTCACATTTAATTTTGTTTATATTCTGAAGACCGATAAGCTTGTTGATGTTTTGTAATAGAATTTCTGTATAGTATGAAATATAATTATTCACAAATTTGTTTGCCTTCTCAATAAATATTTGTGTCACTTCAATCAAGGTAACAATTTTCCCGTTTGTTTCACGTTTTATTACTCCAAAAAAACCTTCGACTACATTTGTGGTCAAGTCGTGTGTGATTCTTTCTGTGTATTGAGGAATCCAACTTAATTTTGTTTCTTCGAGTTGCTCAAGAAATCTAGTTTTTTCATTTCCCAATATTTTAACAGAAGAGTGTTGTTGACTTGATTGACAATAGTCAATAAATTCATGAAAAAGATCAACATTATCAAGAACTCCGCCTTCTTTTGTGTATTCAGAATCTTTGCATTCTGATTTATAGGTTGCAATTAATTCCAAAAATTGTTCACCTGTAATTTCCCGATTTATTAGCTTTTTAAAAGACTTATAAATTGTTGAATTTTTGCCAAAAGCGGTTATAATGTTGCGTCTTATATGTCTGTAACAAAATACAATTTTTGCACTTGGAAATATCAAACAAATTGCTGTTGTTTGAGCAGCACAACGATCAACAACAAACGTGTTTATATTGTTGTGATGGTCTTTTAGAAAAGATAGAAATTCTTCGTAATAAGACGTGAATCTATGCCTGATAAATCCAAAAGCTATAAGTTGGCACTTTCCGTTGATGTCTTTGCATAAAGCTGCAACAATTGGTATTTGAAATTTGTTGGTGCAAAACGTGTCGTCTAAAAAAACGCAATCTTGACAGATGTAATTTTTAAGTAACTTGTTTAAGAAAAAGCATTCATCGAAAACATCATTTGAATTGTTAACAAAAAGTGTATCAAAGTTTGACAACTCAGAAACAAATTGTAATAGTTTATTACATCTTTCATTTGTCATTGCACCCAACATTCGTTTTCTTTCTTTTTTAATAAATAATTTAGTGTACTTGTTTTTGAGTTTGTCTTCTGTGATTTTTTGCGAAACATTTTGCTCTATATCATTTGCAAATATCTCTTTTGAAATTTCTGACATTCGATTTCTCAACATTTTCATTGGTTTTATCGTGAATGCGTTTGAATGTCCATCATGTAACTCAAATTTAATTATCTTTTCACTTGTACAATTATCAAACATCACAATAATTTTAGAATCACACTTATATTGTTGTTTGTATACATAGTTATATTTAAACGTTTTTCTATCTTTACCTGTGTCTTTTGCATTATATAGTGAAAACAAAGTTTTATCAATTTGAATTCTGCTTGCTTCAACGATTTTTGTTGTTGTATTGTATCTAGTAAGACTTGTAGTTATCATTTTAAGTTTGTTGATTAATTCAATTGGAGTTCGGACTTTTGTTAAATCTGTGTTGTTTTTGATAATTAGTTGTACGTTGAATTTATCTGTAGATTCAATATTCCGAGTATTTGGAAATTTTGGTATCATAATTCCATTCAGTTTATCTATAAGTCCATTTTTTCAAT